AGCCGCTCTCATCTTCATCTCGTCATCTTCTGCCATATCTGGCTCATTGAACATGTCCGAGTACATGCCGTCGGCCTGCAAATCCTCATCATTGGCTTGCTCCCAAGCTTCTTGATGCACGTCCTGATAGTCGCCGTCCCCACCAGCGTCAGCATCATCGTAGGTAGTTCCCTGGTCCTCATCTATCCCGCCATCTATCAGATCCCAGGCCAAGCCAAAACAAGAGCATGAGCATTCTGAGGAGGCGCACAAGCGCGACAAATTTCACGTGCAACAGAAAGCTCGAGTCTCCTTTTGACTTACAGAGAGGGTTGACAACGCCGGTTCGGAAAGAACTCAAGTTCTACGAACCCCAAACAATGCCAAGTGAGACTCAAAGGTTGCTAGATCGGTTCTCGAACAAATTTCTTTCACTCAACGGCTATACATCAGGGTCATGGCATGACTCACCTTATCGGTGTTTTGCGCATCGAATTGTGGCTCAGTGGGCTTGCGTTGCCGGCGTCGGGCCACGACGACTGCGACGACCAGCACCAAGAGACCGACGATGCCACCAATCGCACCAATGTAGATGGATGACGAAGCAGAGGAAGAGCTGGAGGAAGAGTGTGTGGGGTCCGATGTGCTCGTAGGCTGTGGCTTGGCTGGCCCGCGCGTTGTTGTGGTTGCAGGTGGTACCCACCCGCTGCGAAGCAAGGTGGCAGGCTGGGCCTGAAAGAAGACATAACCTTCAAGAGTGACAGCCACGGTTGTGCGATTCAACTCAAAGCTCAGAATGTCAACGGCATCACCAGCTGTCAGATCGACGTCCTTGGTGCCTGCAAGGGGCGTCACATCAGCAATTTTTGGAATGAGTTTGCGTACAGGGCCGTGAAAGCCAGAAGGAAGGCAAGCAAGATCAAGGGGACGAAAAACCAAAGAAACACAAAATAAAGCGCTACTGCTCAAGCACAGGCGCGCAACATCTGCTCGGCTGTTTCATGCGCGCGTGTTGCAGTCAAGGCAGGGGCGGACACTGAGATTTGCACAGCTGTACCTGGATTGCCCAAATC